GAGCCCCCCTCTTTTGGCTGGGGTCACCCAGAGGCTGCTGTGGTGCCTTGCAGAGCTGGAGGCAGAGGAGTGGTACAAGACGCTGTCGCTGGAGTGCCTGGGCGCCCGCCCCAGTGACGTGGGCCTGGGAGAGCCCGACCTGCTGGCGCCCGGCGTGCAGAGTGAGCAGACGGGTGAGCCAGCGGGGCGCTCACTCGGGGCTCAGCTTCCTTACGCCCCCCTGAATTACTGCGTTTTATAATTATTTTTCCCCCTTTACAGACCGGTTTAACGTGTTCCTCCTCCCCTGCCCCAACCTGGACGTTTACGGTGAGTGCAAGCTGCAGATCACCCATGAAAACATCTACCTCTGGGACACGCGCAACCCGCGGGTGAAGCTGCTCTCCTGGCCCCTCTGCTCCCTGCGCCGCTACGGGCGTGACGCCACACGCTTCACCTTCGAGGCTGGACGGTGAGATGTCACCCCGGCTGGGACAGGGACCCACTGCTGGGTGCCCTCCTTCTGCTGGGCATCACCCCAGGGCGGGCCTGACACTGAGGTAATGGCCACAGCCTGCACAGGGTGTCCCACAGCTGGGGAGGTTTGGGGCTGGAGCTGGTTCCAACTCAGCACCCCACAGGGGACGTGGGGACAGCACTTAAACCGTGGGAAGCTGGGCCAGCTGCCATGTGTGTGGGGGGTATTTTTATCCTCCTTCAGCCTCGGGAGGCTGGTGACGCCCTGTGCTCTGTCCTCTGCAGGTTGTGTGACGCAGGGGAGGGTCTCTACACCTTCCAGACGCAGGAAGGGGAGCAGATCTACCAGCGTGTGCACAGCGCCACGTTGGCCATCGCCGAGCAGCACAAGAGGGTCCTGCTGGAGATGGAGAAGAACGTTAGGGTGAGCTCCAGCCCACCCTGGTGACATAGCTGGAGGGGGGGCTCAAGGCATACTGTGTCACCCTCGCCCCCTTCTTGTCCTCCACAGCTGTTGAATAAGGGCACTGAGCACTTCTCCTACCCTTGCACCCCCACCACCATGCTGCCCCGCAGCGCCTACTGGCACCACATCACCGGCTCCCAGAACATGGCCGAGTCCTCCAGCTACTCCGGTGAGTGTCCCTGTCCCCCACAGAGGTGGCCCCTGGGGTGTCATCCCCCGCCACGAGCCCACCCTCTGTTTTGTCCCTAGGGGAGGCATATGCAGGCGCCCAGGCCAGTTCAGATACCGACCTCCTCAACAGGTTCATCTTGCTGAAGCCAAAGTCCTCCAAAAGCGACAAGCCTGAGAGCAGGGAGCCCACAGTGTCCCCGTGAGCCAGCAAGATGGGGACTGTGGTGGGGGTCCCCGTTTTCATCCCCTTGGTGGGGCAAGGACATAGGCAGAGGCACCTCAAAATCCCCAGGGAGACAGGGCTGTGGCACAGGGGAGCAGGCACTGGCTCATGCCCTGGCCACACGTCCCGGGAGCTGCCAGCTGGTGCCACCTCCACTGACCTGAATTATTATCTTGAATATCCGTATTATAACAGATTTTTCCCTTCTCCCAAGAACCCAAACCTCGTGGCTGCTGAAGAGCCCTCACGCAGAGACTCTCAGAGTGTTTTTTTTTAATCTTGGGGGATTCAGTGGGGAGGTGGAGAAGAAGGGGTTGTGACATGAAATTGGGGGTATTTTGGGGAGCAGGGAGGCTGGAGCATCACCCTGCAGGGAACAAAGCAGCACTTGGGGAGGTGGCTGTGCCAGGCTGAAGGCATGGGAACCCAGCATGTCACCTCCCATGAGGAGCAGGGTGCTCCTGGGGACACCCTGCCACCCCAAGCTGTATTTTTGCACTCAAAGCTATTTAAACACTCGCTGTAGAGCTGAGGTGCCTCAGGAGAAACTGGTTTTCCTTCCAGGGGGGGATCTGGTGGGACAAGCAGCCAGTCAGAGCTTAGCACCCTGCCCTGCCACAGCCTTCCAGGGCTGCCCCCACTCCAGCACCCCTTGTTCTTCCACCCACAGCCACTCTCCTCCCAGTTTATCTGCTGCTGGTTTTGGCCAGTAATGTCTGTCCCTCGAGAGGCAGCTTTGCAGATGTGAATGGTCCCTGCAGAGGAGCCTGTGCCCATGGGGGAAGACCCACGTTTCTCCAGGCGTTCCCATCGTCCCTGCTCCCTCCTCTTCCTCCGCTGCAGCTGGGCAAGAGCCCTCACCTGGGGGGGGATGGGGTAGCTGGGCTGAACTTTAAAGCAATTGATTTTTTCTAGTTCTCCTATATATTGACCTCCTTTAGAAGGGCTATCTTTTTATTGCTGTGCAAACCTTTGTGTTTCTTTGGAGTCTTCTTTCTGACTGGGTTGGGCAGTGGTTTTTATTTCCACCCTTAAAGCTCCAGGTCAGTGCTTTTGGGGACAGGGAGTGTCGTGATGTGGGAACCCGTGGTCTGTAAATAATGTTGTCTTGGGTCTGTGTGTGGCTTGTGGCTGAGGCCAGGGAGCTGTGGGGGGGTGGGTGGGGAAGGGCTGCTCCCTGCAGCGTGGCCTGGCATGGAGGGGCTTGCTGGCGCCCCAGGGCTGCGCGGCAGCACATCCTCCCCCGGGTGAGAGGTGTAACCTGCTCTTTTCCTGGCTACACACCTCATCTGGAAAAGATTGAACATCTGTTACCAAAAATGTTTGGGTTTTCTTTTTTTTTTTTTTAAAGGAGTTGCTTAATGAATAAACAACCCTTAGCCACCCTTCCTGTTTGTCTGTTCCATCCAAAGGCGCTCGGGAAGCGCCAGTGGGAGTAGCGCCTGCCAGGGAGAAAAATGCTGATGGGGAGAGATTTCCCGAGCCTCCAGCCCTGCTTGGCTCAAGGCTTTGTTCTGCCTCCAGCCACAGCCAGGCCACTTCAAGTGAAGCCCTAACTGCTGGGGAGAAGAAAAAAGGGTGGAGGGAGTTGCCATCCTCCATCCAACAACCCCAAGTGAAGCAGAAAGCCAACACCTCTGTGTCACCCTGCAGCTCTAGAAGGTGCCAGGTCAGTGGTGGCTCCAAATCCCCAGGCAAAGGCGTTCCCAGCCATTCCATCTCCCAGCTCTTCCAGAGCAGTGCCAGCTCAGTTAACCACACCACGACTGTGGCAGAGTTCTGACCTAAAGGCAAACCAGCTATGCCAGCACTCCCTCAGGACTAGGGCAGCTCTGAGGAGCTGTGCCCTAGCCAGGGGTGCCATGGCAGGAACATGAGAGCTGCTGCTGAGTCTGGCCCTGCCCTGGAAGGCAGCGCTGGCTCCAGCTGCTCCTGGCTCAGCTCCCCATGCTGTTCCCATGCTCCACATCTACTCTGGGATGAGCACAGTGGCACATCCCTCTTCCCCTCCCATTAGGAAGGGACAGGTCCTTCCAGGACTATCACGAAGAAGCTCATCCCAAGTCCTGCTGGGTGCCGTCAAAGAGAAGGGGTGAGCTGGGTAGCCATTGTGCCAGGGGGTGCTCCTGACAAGACTCCTGCTCTCCAGCTCCTACCATCAGGATTGTGGGTACACTCTGCTCCTTTGCAGCACCTCGCTTAGCAGCTCAGCCTCAAACACCTGCCTGAAATGCAGCCCTAGCTGGATCGGAGGGGCTCCCTACCCCAGGGGGTCTGTCTCCTCAGGAGATGGTGCCAAGAGCAGCCAGCAGCAGCACAGGGCAACGCTCCCTTCAGAGCGATCTCATGGACTTCATGTCTAAATGGAGAGAGGTACCTGATGTGACATCTCCTGCAGTCCCAGATGAGCTCTCAGGGATGACAGCACAAGGGGGGGAGGAAAGGCTTTATTCAGCACAGTATGGAAGGGACATGCAAATAAGGTAGGGTTGTGTAACCAGGGTATGTGCTTCTCAATCCCATGGCCAGAATCCAAAACTCTGGCCTAAAACTCTAGGATCACTTAGGGACAAAGCTTGTCCCAGCGAAGTTGCTACCATTTTCCTTCCTGCTTTATCCCACACATCCTGACAGCTTTCCCTGGGAAGGGGCCAGGGAAGAGAGGTCACCAGCCGGAAGAGGGAGGAACCTGGTGCACTGCTCATGCCTTCTTGCAAGGGGCCATCTCAGTTTATGGTGAGGACGTCACTCTGAATCTCATGGCTCAGCTGGGTCTGGAGGTCACTCAGCTTCTTCTTCAGGCCAGACAGGGCAGAGAGAACAATGGTCTCGGGGCGCAGAGAACCACAGGACTCCACATTGTAATAAAACCTGTGGTCACAAGTCAGGGGGAAAGTCACCACCAGCCATGTGAGGAGATGCCAAAGCAAAGAGGACCCACAGAGCAGGTCCAGCTGTCCTGACCCAGCACTGGGAGCTCTGCTGAGGATCCCAAGCACCAACATCATCTCCCTCCCATGGGGAACAGCTAGCACTGCCCCTGGACAACCCTCACAGCAACACTGGGGCTCCACAGGCTGCATGAGCGCTTTGGAGTTCCCTCCATTCAGAGTTGGGACCTGTGGACCAGCCCAGAGCCCTGTCCTGGAGCAGGGGAGGGCACTTCTGCCATGCAAACAACCCCAGTGAGGGGCACCACCAGCAACCAGAGCACCAGAGCCCCACACGGGCCAATAGATCCCACAGCACTCCCCCCACAAGCCTGGCACTTCAATGACAACACAAACTCAGGAGATCTATCTAGGACCTCCTGGAGGGGAAAACTGCCAGGCCTGGGCAGTTCTGGAGCACACAACACAAGAAGGACATGGAGCTGTTGGGGTAGGTCAAGAAGAGCCCACGGAGATGATCCAAGGGCTGATGCAGCTTGGCTCTGGTGACAGACAGGCTGAGAGTTGGGGTGTTCAGCCTGGAGAAGAGAAGGCTCCAGGGAGATCTTAAGAGCACCTTCCAGTGCCTGAAGGGGCTCCAGGAAAGCTGGGGAGGGACTTGGGACAAGGGCAGGGAGTAACAGCATGAGGAGGAATGGTTTCAGGCTGAAAGAGGGGAAATTTAGATGAAATATAAGGAGGAAACTCTTTCCTGTGAGGGTGGTGAGACCCTGGCCCAGGTTGCCCAAAGAAGCTGCCCCATCCCTGGCAGTGTTGAAGGGCAGGTTGGATGGGGCTTGGAGCAACCTGGGCTGGTGGGAGGTGTCCCTGCCCATGCAGGGGGATAGGACTGGATGGTCTTTAAGGTCCTTTCCAATCCAAACCATTCTGTGATTCTATGATATCCCCAGTTAACTCCAGCTTCTGCTCTGCTTTTCAGGGAACAGCAGCTCCCTGGGCTGGCAAACTTCAGCATCCAGCTTCCTACCTCTCTGGCTTCCCATTGGGGTCATAGGGAGCCTGGGCATCCTCCTCGTCGATCTCCGAGTACTCGCTCTTGGGCCTGGAATCAAAGAGCAGGGGAGGTCAGCAAGGAGCTCCTGTTTTGGGGCTGGTGTCCCACAAGCAATGGAGGAGCCATCAGATATCAAGTCACAAAAGACAGCTCAGCCCACGTTGCCCTTTCCATCTCCTCATTAAGGCCTCACAGTCACCCAGAGCAGACCAGCCCCTCTCTGCTGAAACGTAGGGAGCCCCGTGCAGGGTCCTGGGGCTCCATCCACCCACACCAGCACCCTCTGGCAGTTTGTCACTGGGATGTCAATGCCTGATGACTGTGTTTTATGGAGCCTGGATGCTGCTTATCAAGCAATGGACCTTATTTCTTTTTCTACTCTGCTCCAGGTCAGGAAACACAGGAGCACTCCCACACTGTCTGTGCAGCACAGCTGAAAGGGAAGGCTTGGTCAGCCTGTGCTCGGGTACTTCAGGCCCCAGCTGCACTGGTGAGCCCCATCCTGCAGCTCTGCTCCTTGACACACGGCAGTGCCAAAACCACTGTGATCCCTGTCCCTCAGCTCCCAGCCCTGCATCCCTGGGCACACAGAGCATCACACCGGAGAGAGACTGTTGGGAAGCACTTAATCCATGCCAAGAAACATAAACCCTTCAGCTGTCTGAGAAGCAAGAATGGAAAATTCTGTGCCCACCAAGGTCTCCTGCTGACCTTCTCCCCCCCTGCAATGCCAGCACAGGCTGATCCCAGGACCTTTACATCAGCTGCCTCAAATAAAACCGCACTTTCCAAACAAATCCTGTCTGTACCACACCAAGGAGAGAGAGATAAAGCATTAAGGGAGCTGGGTCTTCTCCTTACTTGAAAAACCACACCCATGACCAGAAACAGGGTAGAGGTTTCCACCACCACAGCTGTTGCGAGAGCCCAGCTGTGTGCCAAGGGTGCTTCCCAGAACCTCAAACAGCATGTGAAACCAGACCAACACCAAGGGCTGCCCTTGAACAGCAGGGCCTTGGCCTCTGCTCATCTTCCAGATTAACCTGGGAAGGCAGATGTGCTATCAGGGAACAGGCAGTGACCATGGCAATCTTTCCTCTGGGATTCTTCAACTTTGACTTGTATTTTGTCCAGAACTTCTCAAAAACTGCTTCCAGGTACCCAGCTTGTTGTACAACGCACCAGGTGCCTGAAGATGCAGCTGACTCTGTCACAGAACCCAAGAACCCACATTAGCAGCTGCCTCAGGTGCCCCAGCCTGGGAAGTGCTGAGTTCTCAGCCAGGCAGCCAGGGCTGCTCTCCAACACACCCACATCTCCAAAAGCCCAAACTCCCAAAAATTCCTGCCACAAATAATTTGGAAACTTCAAAACTATCCAGTTCCACCCCCAAAACTGCTGGTGATGAAGGACAGGCCAGCACATCAACTCTTGTGACCTGCTCCTGACCACAGAACTGCCAGACAGTGTTCTCTGCAGCTCTGCACCTCACCAAAACCAGCCTCTCATAGACTTTCCCCTCAACAGCCTGATCTGTAGCTGACATCCCTCAAAGCCCAGCTTCAACCACTTGTTCTGATCACAGACACCAAGGAAAATGCCCATTTCCAGATTTCCTGCACTTCCAGCCAGTCTGGTTCCTGCTGCAGATCCCAGAGCACCACCCTGACCAAGAGCTGCAGGAGCCAAAGGCCTGGCACGTCCCGTCCTCACCCAGACTGACTGAACGGGTCCCACGAACACGCCCTGCAGAGCCCAACAAAGCCAAGGGGGTTTCACTCCTTCCATCCCTACAACAGGGCTGGGATGGCTGTGGGCAGATCCCTGCCCTTTTCATGGATGTTATGGATCCACCTGCACCTCCACCCTTGGCAACAAAAGGCTTCTTAAGTCTCCTCAGTACAAACCAAGCCACACAGGAGTTCCATTGCAGCTCTTGAGCAGAAAGCTCCTGGCAGGGCAGCTGAGTTGTCAAATCCAGGCTACTGGCACCCCTAGGAAGCTCATTCACCAATGGCAAACTGAACATGGGGGGCAGTGTGGGGTACAACAGCCCATTTGCAGAGCCAAATCTGGTGGGGACAGGAAGAAAACCCACCAAGCCTCCTCTGCTGCTCAGCCCCCTCTCCAGCCCAACTCTGCTCAGGCGCTTGCTCCCACTTCCTCAGCACTGGCTTCCATGGTCCCTGCATGAAATCCTGCTCCAGCATCCACAGCTTCTCCACCCTGAGCACAGCTTTGACTACTGCCCTGCTGTCAGGGCAGTGTATGCAGCCCCCCTCTCATCCCTGCTCCCAGCCTGACCTGGCTACAGCACCTGGCTCTTGCTCTGCTGGTTCCCATGTGCTTGGTGACAGGGTGGCTGGTGGGTGCTCACCAGGATACAGAACCAGGAGCAGCTCAGGTACCTACTCATGGAGATGAAGGTGGATCCATAACATCCATGAAAAGGCCTGGGATCTGCCCACAGCCCCCCTCCTTGCTTTGCCTGGGGTGAGGACTTCACCTGGCAGGGCAGCAGTTTTCCAAAA